CAAACATTAATGAAGAAATTATACCAGTTCTCTATAATATCTTTCAGAAAATAGAAACAAAGAAAACTCATTCTATGAGTCAAGTGTTATCCTAATATTAAAACTAAAGAAAGACATTACAATAGAAAAAAACTACAGACCAATATCTCTCATGGACACAAATGCAAAAATCCTCAAGAAAATATTAGCAAATCAAACCTACAATGTATAAAGACCAAGTGAGTTCTATTCCAAGTGTGAGTGATTCAACATTCAAAAATCAATTATTGCAATATCACATCAACATGCTAAGGAAGAAAAATCATTGATCAAAACCAAGACTCATTCATGAGTTAAAAAAAAATACCTCAATAAACTAGGAATAGAGAAGTATTTCCTCGGCTGCATAAAAAATATCTAAAAAACAGCAACAATAAAATCTACAGTTAAAGTCATGCTTAATGATAAGAAATTATAAGCTTACTCTAGGAAAAACACAAGGATGTCCCTTCTTCCTTTTGCCATCTCATAAAGTATTTCTCTTTCTCTGGTGGGTTTATTTCACTTGGTATAATAATCTCCAGGTCCAATCATACTGTCACAAAAGGTAAGATTTTTTTTATTATGGCTGAGTAGTATTCAAGACTCCATTTTGAATTTATGCTTATGTATGGTTTAAGAAGGTGGTCTAATTTCATTTTTTGAATGTTTCTATACAATTTACCCAACACCATTTGTTGTATAAAATATCCTCACCCCATTGTATGCTTTTGCCTGCTTTGTCAAATATTAATTGGCCATAAAGGCCTGGGTTTATTTCTGGGCTCTGTGTTCTGTTCCATTGACCTGTATCTCTGTTCTAAATGCCAGTAGCATGCTGTTTTAATTACTATGACCTGGTATGATATCAGGTAGCATGATTCCTCCAACTTGTTCTTCTTTCTCAAGATTGCCGTGTCTATTTGGGATCTTTTGTGGTTCCGTATACATTTTTAGAATATTTGTCCTAGTTTTCTTAGATACACTATTGGTATTATATTTAACCTATAGATTTCTTTGAATAGTATGGGCATTTCAATTATGTAAATTCTTACTATCCATGAACATGATATATGCTTCCACTTATTTATATCCTCTTCAATTTCTTTATTTGTTATCTTATAATTTTCTGAATACTAGTCTTTTACATCCTTGGTTAAATTTATTCCAAGCTGGTTGCTTGAGGGGTTTTGAATGTAATTATAAATTGGATTGTTTTTTAATTTCCTTTTCTGATAGTCTATTATTGTGTATAAAAATACAACTGATTTCTTCCCTGGCTAGTTTGGCTCAATGGATAGAGTGTCAGCCTGCTGACACAAGGGTCCCAGGTTTGATTCCAGTCAAGGCATGTATCTTGATTGTGGGCACATCCCCAGTAGGGGGTGTTGCAGGAGGCAGCTGATGGATGTTTCCCTCTCATGGATGTTTCTAACTCTCTATCACTCTCCCTTCATCTCTGTAAAAAAACAATAAGATATATTTTTAAAAATACAACTGATTTCTGGATATTGATTTTGTTTCCTGCTACTTTACTGAATGGCCAAAATCCAGAACACTGATAGTGCCAAATGTTAGCATGGATGTAAAGCAGCATGAACTCTCATTGATTGCTGGTAGAAATGCAAAACTATATATACAGTCACTTTGAAAGACTGTTTGGTGGTTTCTTACAAAACTAAACATATTATTACATATGATTCAGCAATAGCAATCCTTGGTATTTACCCAAAGGAGGTAAAAATTTATGTCCACACAAAAACCTGTACATTAATGTTTATAGCAGATTTATCCATAATTATCTACACCTGGACTCAGCCATGATTTATTCATTCATTAGGTGAATGAATAAATTGTAGTAGATCCAGACAATGAATAGTAATGATAGCTAGGAACTATTTTGCCATGAAAAGACATAGAGGAAACTTGAATATACATGAAGTGAAGAAGCCAATCTAAAAAGGCTGCATACTGTACAATTCCAATTTATATGTCATTCTATAAAAAGAAAAACTATAGAAACACTTAAGATCATTGGCTACCATTGTTTAGTGGGAGGGAGGATTAAATGGGTGAAACACAGCGGATATTTAGGGAAGTGTGACAGCTCTGTATGATACTATAATGATGGATATATAACATTATATGTTTGTTCAAAGCCATAGAATATATAACACCAAAAGTAAATCCTAAATTAAATTGTGAACTTTGATCAATAATTATGTGTCAATGTAGATTTATCAATTGTAATAAAAGTAACACTCTGATGGAAGTGTATTGATAGTCTCAGGCAGTTATGCATGATTGGGGTTAGAAGATATATGGAAAGTTGTTGTACATTTCTCTCAATTTTGCTTTGTGAAAAAAACACTGCTCTAAATATTGTCTTAAAATATGCATACAAGCCCTAACTGGTTTGGCTCAGTGGATAGTGTCGGACTGTGGACTGAAGGGTCCTAAGTTCAATTCCCATCAGGAGCATGTGCCTTGGTTGTGAGTTATCCCCAGTGGGGAGCGTGAAAGAGGCAGCGAATCGATGTTTCTCTCTCATCAATGTTTCTGAGTATCCCTCTCCCTTCCTCTATGTAAAAAATCATAAAAATATTTTTCAAAAAAATCACCTTTTTATAATCATTGAATATCTAAAGCAATCTCAGAGTTTAAATCTCCTTTAAACAAATAATGGACTCATTACATTAATGGATTTTAATTAAACCCTATTCAATTACATCGTTTTTATTGCTTTCTGTTCCCTGCCAGAACTCTACTATATCTACATATTTCTCTACAGAATCTGTTTTCGAGTTAATTTCAAATGTTCTTCCCTCCCAATATCTTTTAGCTTTCCTAGGCACTAATTCCTTATCTGTTTCTTCTAATAATTGTTTTTCTTTTTTAACTAGACATACTATGGAAATGTGGAGTCCAGTTCTCAGAATGTTGTGGAACTTCTTGAGGATTATTACAAAGAATGACAGAAAGGATGCAAAAGTTTATTTCTAGCTGCTCAAGCCTACTCTAATTAGAGAAAATTCATTTATATATTCTACCTTTTTTATGGTTTTGGAAAGAAGTCCATTTGTATAAAGATTTCTAGTGAGAGCTTAAAGTCATTTATTTGAAATAATTATTTATCATATATCTACTATTATGTTTCCTCACCCTCATTTTCTGAAACAAATTGTATCCATAAATTTTAAAATTTAAAAACCCAGATAAAAATTTAGTGTTTTCTTCTTAGCCTCAGAGCTAGAAATATTAGAAATATTAAAAGGGAAATAAATAATTACACAGCAGTAAATAGTACTGTCCAAAAAGAGGGATTCAAATGAGACAATGAAAATACAAACCAAACAACTGGTGAAACACTATACTTATTTAGTCCCAAAAGTTTAGTTTCACTTTATTCCAGTGTCAACAATATTACTCTGGACTGGGCTAGTCAGCTGGTCAATGCACCATTTAGGTAAGGTGAATCAGGAGGTATTTTCCTGGATAGTACACAAATTTACACTTTTATTTGAACAATCATTAAACACCTGATAAAAATTTTATGAATAGATCAAGAGCATCCTCATCACTACAGAAAGACATCTTTATTTTTGACTGAAAATGTCCAGCATCAGATTTACCAGGCCCCGTGATAATGATGGAGATCAGTAATCTCAAAGTTGAAGTCTTCCCCAAAGTATGCATTTGGAGTGATTTTCTTCTTTAATGCAAATTCACTGAAAATCAATCAATGGATTCAGTGAATCTCTCAGGAATTTAATAGGACTGATTATTACTTTTCTTCACCATTTTTCTATCTTCTTATCTTTAATTTCATCTCCATTCAACATACTTTTTGCTGAATAGCAACTGATAGGAAATATCAGTGTGTATTACTTGGCCTTAGGGTAATGAGGGAGGAAGCATAGTGGCCAAGAGTATTTCAACTCAAATAAGGGAAATGATTGGAGTGCGGACTTAGCTGCACAAAAAGGAGAACTGACCATCCTCCAGTCAATGCCTCAAAATTAGGAATAGACAGTATGATTACTTGGGGTAGTTGAGAGGCCCAAATTGTCACCAAATAAGGACCAGACCCAAAGCAGAGCTGTCTGAACCCAGCCTGTAGTGTGTGGGTTCTTGACTTCATGCAGGAAAGATTTCACAAGACCAGTCCTGCTGATTCTGAGAGTACATTTATTAAAGCTGGGAACAGGGAAACAAAGGAAGGACTTAGGATAAAAGATGCAACAGGGGAGAGCTTAGATGGTGCTTGCTATGGCTCCCTAGAAATGTTATAGGAAAGAAGAGAGCCTAAGTGGGGCTGCTTTAGCTCTCTTGGATGTTAGAGAAAAATGGGACTTCGGAGGCAGGATTAGAGAGTAAGCCTGGGATGAAATGCTGCTGCCCACTGCTCCCCTGGTTTCAGGTCGTATGGGGACCTTTACAGTTTAGGACAGGGGTCGGCAACCTGTGGCTCTTTTGAACCTTTGCTGTGGCTCCCAGCAGGGCCGACAGCAGGGGGCGGGTGGGGAGCTGTATCACTTACCTCTAATACTAATTTTTGTTGTTGGTTAAGCATGAGAGACAGGGCCTTTTGTAAGATGTAGACTGTAGGAAATTTGTGGCTATTATATAAAAAATTTTTAAAATAAATAAATTAATTAAATTATTATTTACATTTTTAAATTTAATTTACTTAATTTAATTTACAGAATATTGGGGGGCCTGATGAATTATTTTTATGGCATGCATGGCTCACTAATTAATTTACAAAATATTGGGGGCCTGATGAATTGTTTTTTTTTTTTAAAGGTGACTTGTTGTGGCTGGCGCAGGGGCGGGGTGGGGAGGGAGCAGCCGTGCTCACCAGCGCTCTCTTTCGGTTTGCTCAGGCTCTGGACCCCCCACACGCTGAGGCACTTCTCCTCCTCCTCCTCCTCCTCCTCTGAGTGCCCCCGTCCCATCCTGGTCCCAGCCCCGAGCGGGGTTCAGGGATGCCCGCCAGCATGTTCAGCATGGACAACATCCTGGCTGCGTGGCCTTGCTGCAAGGATGTGGTGCTGCCGGTGGCTCCGGACCCCGACCCCGGTGCCGGTGGCAGCGCCGCCTCCTCCCTGGACTATGGCCAAACAAGGGGTGAGGATATCTGTAAGGCTGTCCTGGACTATTTAAGTGCCGAAAAAATAAACACCAACTACCTGGTCTCAGTGGCTACTGATGGGACACCGAGCATGAGAGAAGCACAAAAGGGCTTTGTGGCTCTACTGCAGAAGGCTCTGGGTAGAACGCTGCTCTCATTTCATTGCATCCTGCACCAAGAGGCATTGTGTGCTCAAACATTTCCCCCGGAATGCACAAAAGTGATGGATGTGGTCATTCAGATTATTAATAAGATAATGCCAGAGGGTTTAAACCACTGCCAGTTCCGTTTGCTATTGGATGAGGTGGAAAGCATATTTTCTGACCTCCTGCTCCACAACAAGGTCTGGTGGCTGTCCAGAGGCGAGGTGCTAAAACGCTTTGTCGCATGTTTGGAAGAAGTAAAAACTTTCCTGGCCAGCAAAGAGTTCACCATTCCTGAGCTGGAACAACCAGAGTGGCTGGAAAAATTACATTTTATGACAGCACATCTAAACACACTAAATACAACCCTTCAGGGGAAAGGAAGCACAGCCCTGCACATGCTGGAGGAGGTTTGACATTCGAGAACAAGTTGACAGTGTTTGTCAAAGATTTACAGAGAGGTACTCTGTCTCACTTTCCCATTTTGAAAGAGTTCAAACAAAGTCATGATACAATAAATTTGGAATATTTGAAGTCTGTAATCACCACAATGCAAAGTTCGTTTGGGAAATGATTCTGTGAGTTGAGAGGAAAAAACCACATTATCCTTCCCTGTCACTCCCCTGGTGATCGATCCATCCCTATTGAATATGACTGCATTTGCAGGTGTAAGTCTACCTGATCTTGAGATGGAACTGGCCGATATAGCCGACAAAGATATATGGGTGTCCAAGTTCAAATGCTTGGCCGCTACTCTTGAGGATGTTGCCTGTCAGAAGGCCATTCTGGCTCAGAATCATAAATGGAGTGATATTGAAAACCTTCCCAAATAGGACAAACTTGTGTTCAAAACATGGAATGCCATCCCCAACACTTATACAAACATGAAAAAGTATGCATTTGGAGTCCTGTCGATCTTCGGCTCCACATATGTATGTGAGCAGGTCTTCTCCAACATGAACTATATTAAAAACAAACATTGATTACGCCTCACAGATGACAACTTGCAAGCCTGTGTGAAAATGAAGGTAATGTCTCACAGCCCTGATGTGCAGACACTGTGCACTGAGGTTCAGGAGCAAAAATCCCATTAACCAGGTAAATTAAATATTTTAATTAGCTATTAATTTGCAAAAATATATTTTACATTGTTAAGTGAAAAAATCCTTTTTTTCTTCAGATTGACAGCTAACTGCACCATCCGGTATTTAGCATTAAGGTAAGAAACAATATATGCAGTGTTATATTTGTTTTAAATGTCGCAATGGTTTTGCAGCTCCCAGGTTGTTTTTTTTTCCTTCGAAAACGGGTCCAAGTGGCTCTTTATGTCTTAAAGGTTACCGACCCCTGGTTTAGGAGAAAGTAAAAAGTTCATGTCCAAGAGTGGGCATGGGTGTGCTCTAGAGCAAACCTATGCTGGGTTTTTGTTTTGAGGGTTTTCACATTTCTTTCACATTTTGAGGGCTTCAGCAGAATATCATCAGCTTCCAGGTTCATTTTTAATATACTAGTGCATCAAAATGTTTGAGATTATTATTTGCTCAGTTTCACTACTTTATTTTTATCTTGGATCTGACTCTAACTGGGTTTTTGTTATTTGTTCCCCTAATTTCATCCATCTGTGGGTTTGGCTGGCACAAATGGCACTTATTGGGTCTCTGTCCTCTATCTCTTTGATCACGGTGATTTAAGTTATTTAGTCTTTGATTAGGGAGGACAAGTATAAACCATTTTTTTCTTAAGGGTTCTTTGTTGGGATTATAAGATTTTGTAATTCACTAGCTGTCTGTAAGGTGTTAAATTGTTTGGCCTTGTTTAGTTTCCCCATTTCACCTATTCCCATATTTTCTTAGCTTCTTATTATCTTGCCTGAAAATTGGGTGTAGACATAATTTAAAAAAAGTAAAACCATATTAAAATAGACCCATTGATCTTCACATCAGTTTTGAGCTTGATTGTTCAGGGTATTTAAGTGGCCCAAATAGTAGAGGATATTTTAGGGAGTAGTGCAAAAGTTACCCTAACCCAAATAGAAGCATCTTATGAGAGCAAAATGAAGGACAGCTAGTAGAAGTATAAGGAGTTCTTCTAGGTTAGTCCATACTAAAATTTCTCATTAAATGGTATTAGCTAAGAAAACAGATCTGCAATATCCAGGACCTCTTACAATATCTGGTTGAGTCATAAAATATGTTCAAAGTGTGAATTACGGTCCAGCTAGCATGACTCAGTGGTTGAGCATTGACTTATAAACCAGGAAGTCATGGTTTAATTCTTGGTAAGTTCAATGCCCAGGTTGTGGGCTCAATCCCCAGTGGAGGGGCATGCAGGAGGCAGCCAATCGATAATTCTCTCTCATCATTTATGTTTCTACCTTTCTCTCCCTCTTCCTTTCTTTCTGAAATCAATAAAAATGTATTTTTTTATATGTGAGTTATGCTTTTTCATGACAACCCAAGAGGTTCCCTAGATAATCAAGGGATCTGGGTGAAGAGTGACATCATACAATACCATGGCATCTGACAGGGGACTGAAGGCTGTAGAGGTCACCCCCTCCTATAGGTTGAATAATGCAGAAGGCCCAGGTTTGGATCCATCTTCTATCAAGAAGGTCTCAGTAACCATGACAAGCCTGTGGGATTCTGCTTTTATGAATCTAAGCTGAGTATGAAGGGTCACAGACTCAGTCTGTGAGAACCTCTATTTCCAGGAAAACCTCATATGTGATCAGTAATTTTTGCTCTAAAGGTGAATAGCACATGGTAAAGATGGCCAATTTTTGCCTCTGAAGCTCATGAGCAATTTATGGCCATCATAGGTAGTCCAGTGATTCCAGAATTATGAGAGGAGGTTGCTTAAAGCCTTTACAGTAAAGGAATCTCTGAGAGCCTGTTAATTTTAATTAGGAAAAAATTGAGAGCTTTTCCTTAGGGATGAGTCCCAATAAAGTGGGCTCATTTGTAAGTACCAGCATCAGGTGGATTAAGTAAAATTGGTAAATGAGGAATGTGCTGTCCCTAGAATTCCAAAAAGATTAAAAGACATTGGACTTAAATATCCTCAATGAGTCTGTTAAATTAAACTTCTTAGAGAACGATGTCATTAATGTAATGCCATACTTGTGTTCCTGGAGAAAAATGGATGCAGTTAAAAATCTTGCCTACAGGCCTAAACCGGTTTCGCTCAGTGGATAGAGCGTCGGCCTGCGGATTGAAAGGTCCCGGGTTTGATTCTGGTCAAGGGTATGTGCCTTGGTTGCGGGCACATCCCCAATAGGGGGTGTGCAGGAGGCAGCTGATCAATGATTCTCTCTCATTGATGTTTCTGACTCTCTGTCCCTCTGTCTTCCTCTCTGTAAAAAAATCAATTATATATATATATATATATATATAAAGAGTATAGATAACATCTAGCTGTCAAATGGAGAGGCAGTGGGGATAATCATGATAGTCACCCATTTATTAATATGATGTTATATAATGTCTCAAACTTTGCAGGACCTTTTTAAACTTACATTGGGATATATTTACTATCTTTACTAAGGGTCTGTGGGGTGATCAAGCCAATTTGTAGGTGCTAAAGACTTAATTTAATTATAATTAACTAGAGGCCTGGTGCATGAAATTGTGCATGGGAGTGGAGTGTGGGACTGGTGACCCCCCACCCAAGCTGCACCATCTCCAATCTGGGATCGCTCGAGGGATGTCCCACTGCCCGTTTAGGCCGGATCCCTGTGAATGAACTCCATGGTCATCAGAGCCCAGGATTCTTCCAGCTTGCTTTTCCACAACATTAGTGGGTGGCTTCCATCCTCAACATCCCCTTGGCCCAAGTTGGCTGCTGGAACTCCAGTCATCACATCAATGTTTAAGTCCAGGTGATATGGAAGAAAAGCCAGATGATTCTCCTTTCTCTTTAAAGAGTTTTTATAATCAAATGATTTATTCTCACATCTCATTTGGGAAATGTTTTTTTTGGGTGATCACACTCAGCTAAAGGGAAACTGAGGAATGTCTTTTAGCCAAGTATGCCCGCACATTAAATAAAGTTGGAGTTATGTTGTTAAGCAATGCATCAGAGACATATGTCACAATAGTCCTATCTAACAAACAACCATAAAACCTCTCTATGATAAGAATTGCTCAAATATTTGGTAAACACGTATAAGTCAGAGTTCACGGTGTTCAAATGTCAGATGGCCAGCTCTTGTGATCCTACTGAGCCCAGGAGGTGGCTAGTTATTAGATTATCTAGGCTGGCCTCAACAGTGAGAGGGTAGGAGGACCAGGGTAAAGTTAGCTCTGCTCTGCATGTTTCTTATCCTCCAGAAGACTAGCCCAGGCATGTTCTCATGGAATATCATGTAGAAATATGCAGGATCTCAAAGAAATTGGATCAAGACTGGTACACTACTACTTATACCATATTTGAATGACCAAAGTACATTGCATGGGGCGAGTGTGGAGTGGAATATGCATTCTTTTTATGGAAAGTACTCTAGAGTCACTGAGAAATTACATGAATAGTAGGAGAGGTGAACATTTGGATTCATGAATATAATCATCCACCACAAGGAAAAAGGGGAAGATGAGCTCTGAACCAGGCAACTAGCAATCTGTGCTACAGCATTTTTAGTCTGTTACAGAATTGTATTACTAGACATTTTTCTGTCCTATGCTCTACTTTCAAAATGAGGAAATTATAAAAAAAGGAAAAGAGCTAATGCAAGATATATATGACATTATTTTACTAATTTAATTATTTCATGGCTCATGATCCATTACTGATGTAGTAGGTATTAATTTTAGCAGTTGCCTATTCTTTACTATAGGCAGA